ACATGTTATCAACAATCACACACGAACAGACGAGAGTGTAGCAAAGATAACAATGATGAAAACGTAACTCAAATGCATCCAACAAATGAATATGAAAGTTTGTAAACTAATGCAATAGAGAGAATGCATCAATTGAGAAAATAGAAAAAGATTACGTAATGCTAAATACTTTCATTTTGTGGACAAAAGGTTAAAGTGTAAGCCTTATCCGGTAACCACCATGTATTTCTCAAATGGATTTCATGATGTTTATAATTGTACTTGTATTTTCTTGTATTAAAGCTCATATTTCATCCCTTCTTTAAAAGATGAAGTTGATAAAATATAACGGTCAGGAGATTGGATGGATACGGGATGGTATTCCTCGAAGATCTGCACCCGTGTGGTATTGATGTTAAGATGTCATCTTAAGATGCAGAAAAGAAACAACCTTTTCTGCCGTCTTCACTAAAATTATCAAACGGTTTATTAGAAGAGGTTATGGCCCAATTATTTTAAGGCATACCGCATGCTTGGTGTTCAACCCTTTTACAGTTGGACGCTACGCTTTCCTCTTTTGATTGCATCTGACGAACCAAGTGGGAGACTCTATGATGGACAGTTCTTAAAGCCTTTTGGGGCTGAATTGTCTTAATGTTTGTCTTCTGCCTTGCTTCGTCGGGTCCTTGTAGGTGATTTTCTTGTTGCTCTGCCTTCCTTTAAGGCATCGAGTACTTAGGTAATGGTCATAGGTAATAGGCAGTAACTTTTTCTACATATTTACATAATTTTGTATGTGTTTTATTTATTTCGTCTAATGTAACCATGACAATTGTTAGAATTTCACTTGGCGGGAAATAATTTTATATACATTTTCGTGTCATTCAGGAACATATCGGGGCTAAGAGTGAGGTTTGGCGCGCCTAAAACCGGTTGAAACTCCCAAGTGGTTTAACTACCACTGACCGTTCCAAGGCGGTACCCCTTTGTGTTCCTTTACGTGTTTTTCTTGTCAGTATTATTACTTGTTTTTTGATGTTTACATGTTTTGTGATGTCTGTCTTGTTGGATTGTCGTTGACAGTAGGTATTTTCTCCCCCCCCCCCCCTCTTCCATATTTAATCCCCTCCCCAACCTGTTCACCCGTATAGCCTTTTTCCCTTTAAATCCCTTATGGACCTGTTTTTGTTTATATTATTTCACATTATATGTCCCGCTCCTTTCGCCCTTGTGCCCACTCCAGGTACTTGTTTGGTGCCTTCTGGGTGTCCTGCTTGGGTGTGTCTGGGGGCAGCGTCCTGTGAACGTTGTATTTGCCTTTTTGATCTTTATTCTTATTATTTGTTACCGTTTTGTGAATTTTCTATCAGAGGATGACCATGGATCTTACATGTCTATGATAAAGATAGGATATGTTCATCCAAACTGTCTACAAAAGGAACTAACTAAAATGACATTTTTTCTACTTTATTCACGCGTTATGTTTCTAAACAATTCGAAATTTGTATAAAAAACACAATATTCTAGATAATGATCAAATTGATTCGTGTTGGACTTTTGAATTATTGATGAAGCTGTACAAATATACACGTGTAATTATGTTTATATTAAGTATGTTAAACTGCGTTATGAATAGAACGAATGGTTTTTTATTGTGCTTTTTTATAAGCATGTACATACATAGATATTGTAAAGGATCATATTGCTAAATCTAGTATCATGAATACTGTTGTTAAAATGGACATAAATTTATGATATTTTATATAATGTTTAGCCTGATAGATGCTGTACACACTGTATCTGTTTTATTATCCAGATTTGTCTTTGAAATAAAAATCAGAAGAATAGTCAATGTTTTTTTTTTACTTTTTTAATTGTCGAGTAAACTATCCCTGCTAGAGATTGTTCCGATTTTGCAGTTTTAGACTACATTGCTTTGACATCTGTTGACTGATCTTGCATTTTTACACTGCTAGGAAAACAACTTCAACCACCGTAAAGAATGAGTTAAAATGTTTAGACACTACAAATTACATCGAAAACATGAGCCTATTAAACAAATCATAACTAAAAAGAATGCGAGATCCTCGATTCGATTTTCAATTCTACCAATTCACAATGTTTAATGCAAGATATCTCTAGACAGAATAGCAATGGAATATTTCTACATAGTACCGAGGCCCAACACTTTCTTCTTCAGATATATTCAATAAAAATGTAAGAGTCGTGGAAATGAGACACCTATTTTCCCCACTGTGACAGTCCGACATCTTGGAAGTGTCTACACAATTACGACCGTACAGCTTGTCACACAGTGTATATATGACTATGGGTATATACAAAAATCGCTCAACCATTTAATATTTTAACATTCAACTTAAACGTCGAGGTATGTCGTATTGGAAACAATTTTATGTGAGGTACATGTATTTTGAAATGGTTTAAAACTCTTTAAGAAAAATAGTTATATTATTTGTCGAAAGAAGGATAACATTGGTGATTTTTTTCTTTTTTTTTTTGTCTTCCTTATCATATGCTGTATTTATGGTAAGTAAACTTATGTCATTTATGCCATAACTATAAAAATGGGTAATTTATTAAGTTATTCGATTCAAAACTTCCATGTGGAATAAAAACTACAAGATATCCTATACAATGTTTTGGGAAATGTTTATATATTCAAACATCATTGCATTATAATGATTGATATAAATTGAAATTGTAGATTAATAAACTGATAGCAAGAAAATAGTTTATACTAAACATATAGAAAAGTGGGCGTCAAATGTGACACGGTACTATTTCTATATTGCGATAGTATTTCAGAATTTTTAAAACGGCAAATCGGCAGTTTGCGGTCGTCAATATAAACCAGTTACGTTCGCCAAATTCTATTTCCTTTATATAAGCACAAAGATATATACATCAGCTGATTTTTACTTTTCTTTAAAAGGCCCTCTATGCCGCAGAAATGCTATCATTTTTATTTGTAAAAACTTTCTTTTTTTGTATCTTGTTGCATATAAAAAAAGTATATATTCATTTGTTATATAGATGAACTGTGTTTGCTTCTTTTGCTCTGTTGGTAGTATAATAGTTATAATATAATAGTTATAATAGTTATAGTCATGTGAGTATTGTGTACGGAAGTAAAAAAACATCTTGTTTACAATTTGCTACCTTTGATAACATTAGCACACATTCAGTGCTACTTTCTCCAGCTGATAAACATCTAACATGCTCTAAGTAATAAAAAGAGCATCGAAACAAGAGCTACCTGATTTGTACCAAGGGGGGGGGGGGCGTCCTTTTGGTTTAATAAGCAAAAGTAAAAACACGTTCCCTGTTGTAACAATATGAAACCCAAGAAAAAGGTGACCATAGAACGAGCATCTTAATATGATATATCTATTGATATCACTTTCCCAGTCGTCACCTTAAGGTAATTTAAGAAAGGAAAAAAGAGCCAGTGAATGATCAAGCTCTGGAGTTCGGGCAAGTAAACCCTTAATCTCCATTTAACGCACTGTGCATGAAAATGTATATGATTTAACTCTGACTTTTTCAACAGAAAAGTCCCCAAACTGTTATATAAGTTATTTAAAGATCTTGTTTGTTAAGATTAAGGTTGTAACGACATTTAAGTGAAATTTTATATATGTAACTATATAATTATGCTTCTAAAACAATTTTCAAACATCAAAGAATATGAAAAATATGTACTTCAAATATTTGTTCACCTTATATGTAATCATTAAAATATATGCATTCATTTCTTATTGAAAAATTTGACTTAGACTTTATAGAAAATAAATTTCAAATTACCTACTTTTATATGTATGAAATGTAAATTCGGTAATATCTTTACAAATAATGCTTTTTCGAACATACAATATTGATAAATCTTCATTTGAGCATTACATTTATGTTATAAAACCATAAAAAATTGAGAACAGGATGTTTAAACATTATTTAACACTTGTTTGACATTTCTAAAGAAGTGTTTGTTAACATTATTTAAAGACGCATACATGCATGCTAAATAGATAGGACTCGATATAGAGATCGTGCACTTTAGAAATACTTTAGAGATGTACCCACTTCATTCAAATGCGTCAGTTACGACTGATGTGAAACAAGATAATAATTTGACATAATGTGCATTATTATTCATGAAATGTCCGTTAAAGATATACAAATATTGCGTGAATCGTGGATATTAACTTTAATAGTTATTTATAGTAGAGTGATATTTTAATCAATGATGTACTGAAGTAAATAAGTGTGTATATAAAGTCAATTAAGATCATTGTCCCCTCCAACTCTGTTTAATGCGCCCAAAAGAATTTTGGCGTATGATGTCGACTAGTCGTCCGATTGTTCGTTAAAAATTGTGTTTCCTGTCGGTATATTTGAAAAGATGGAAAAAATCGAAACTACTCCGCAGACATGTTAATCATAATGAGGCAATATTCAAAGTATACGTTTGGATTCCTTGGTACAAATCTGCTCGGCAACATTTGGCAAAAAAATCATAATGTCATTCAAAAGATTATTAAGTATAAATCGGAGAGAGAATACAATGTAGGGGTCTACAATGTTTTCATTGTTTATGTAAATTATATTAAAAGGGATAATTTTTTGTTAGCACTCAGATTATCATTCCATACTATGTATACTCTGTCCTTATAAATGATAATTACACACATGAAGGTGCTTGCTTAATCGTTTCCTCAGGTATGATGATAGAGAAAGATTTACTTCTACAAATTATTTCAACTTTTTTAAGTTGTGTGTAATTAGTACTAGATGTCTTGGTTATGAATTGTGGAAATCACATGAAACAAAAAAATACAAAAGAGTCTTAACCATGTGCTGTGATAAGATCATGTTTTACAAAGTAATGCAACAAGAATATTCACTGATCATTTTATACAATGACGTAATTTCTAGTGTCTTTTTCGCCTCACATAAGTAGATACCAGACGTGAATGAAATCAAGTCGTTCTATATCAATCAATCAATCAATCAATCAATCAATCGTAAATCATATCTGCGGTGCATCGTTATATCTGACGCGTTATTCGATTATTACGATTGGTTATGTGACGAATCATTACATTACCATTCAAAATGTTGGTTCGGTTTAGAACACCTTTGAAAAATAGAAATCTTATTCGTGTCATGAAAATCATTTCTGTGTGTTATATTCACTTTTTATTTCTTTCCATTTTACGCTCGGCAGCATACATTTGATTCTCATCTTTGATTGTTTTAAACTTTTGAGAATAGAAAACATACATATGTTATGAAATCACTCAGAACTGTGTGTTCTGAACACTTTTTCATCCCCCCTTTGCCATTTGCAGTATAAATTTAATTCTCATCTATTTGTATTCCTTTTCAGTATCATAATTCCTTACTATGTCATCTTCTTTTTCGTCAACAAGAGTTATTAGGAAATGTGACTTTACCCAGTGGTTATTTTTCTTACACAATGCAAACGTTATTTAAACTTTATTTCAGATATCATTTTCAATATTGTATGCGATTGTATGCCGGTAAAGTTATCAACGTCTATAGCAACGTCATCGCCATACCCTCGTCCAATAGTTGTTACTGACAAATATGACAGAAGACGACAATAACATTATTAGTATGTATTCAATGATAAGAGTAATAATCAGCTTAGGAAACTAGCGTTAAATGTGTCATGTTTATTTCCTTCTTCATATTTCAATAGTTCAGGCATCAGTATTGCTTCAAGTTTTCAAGATTTTATTGTTCATTCAATACACAATGCAAGGGAATATGAGGTTAATTACAAATTACAAACAATTGACGAGGTATATATAACTCACACACTTCATCATACAACATCTTTTCTACATGGACCGGAGACAGTATAACATTCAGTCAAAATGGAATGAGTTATTTAAAAAAAAACAATAATCAAAATTCAACACAATGTTTAGTCAATACTTTCCTAAGAGTTTGTCAACACTTTCCAAACATGTTTATATACCACATAATTGGAAGGGTCAGTGTTCATGTTTTAATGATTTCTAATGTAAGCTCTTTTATAATTTGTTAAAATTAGTTTTATTACCAAAAGTTGACATCATCGTTACTTAAATTCAATTGCTAATGGTTTTGTACCAGTTTTGTCATATATAATTATATAAGAGGTAATTTTCTTTAGACATAAAATATGCTTTAAAAACTTAGGCTGCACTCTTTTCTAAATTGCCAAATCCCTAACTTTTACAGCTTTAAAAAAGTAAAGGTTTAACATTTTTGTTAAAATCGATCTATTTGAAAATTCAAAGGTTTGACAGAGATGTTTGGACTTTTTTATTTAAAATACATGGCTTTGTAGCTTGTTTGGCAATTTTTGCTTTGTTTTGAAAAAAAATGAGCCAGACACCTGCATATTTGTATTCATTTACGATTACTTAACTTTAATTTTTGAATGTAAAAGTATAGTAAAGTTATCTTTCCCTTAAAAAAATCAAGAACTTTATTTAAGAAGAAATTAATTTAAGTTTCCAAGCATCACAGTAATCAGCGGAGATATTAAAAATGTTTTGCAGTTTAGTTTTTCCTGCAATATCTGACATTAAAATAGTGTCATCTGCCTAAAGTAGCATGAAAAGCTTATAAAATATATAGCTACAGTGTCGAACTCATTACGTTGAATTTTACACCTGATAAATTACAACTGATGTTGATAAAATCACTAAATATACAAGAGAAAAAAGATAGGAGTGATAAATTTTCACCCTGTCTGATACCCACATTAGAATAGGAGTAATGTGTTTTTACTCTATTTACAAATATGCATGACTAAGCGTTTTCATACATATTTTTATAACCTTTAAGAAAGATTCATATATTGTTTAGAATAAGTTTTCCCCAAAGATCATCTCTCCAAATAGTATCTAAGTGTGTATTTATACAACAATATTGAATTTATTTATAAAGTAAAGTTTCAAAATCCATAACCAACAATGAAGTTACCACTGTATTATCTAAACGTATATGCAAAATAATCATAATAGTAATGTTTTGTATTTCAGTACCAATTGTGGCTGCATGTATCGCTGCTTTCATCTGCTTGGCAGCATTTGTAATTCTTATCGTTATAATTTGCAGAAGGTTAGTTCGATAATTGTTCATATGATTTTTGTTTTGTATTTGTTATATTTATATACCAACATAGGTTTATGTGTTGTTTGACTAACGAAATAAAATAAAAGCCATGTCAGATCAATCAGACTCAAAGTTTAGATCTAATTAAGCTATTTCTTGCATGTTATCAGGAGAATGACTGCCTTGATGTTATTTAATCGAAGGAAAGATTTAGTAAAAAAAACAACAAAAAACAAGAACCAATTTCGAAGATATCGAGGCTGGGACGCAACACCTAACTTAAATTTTAAAAAAATCTCAGTTGGAAAACTAGCATGTAATTGTTTACTTAACACTATTTTTTAAGGTGTTTTTATCTTTTTCTATCTCAAATCCATATATACATTTAAACAACAAACTCTGATTATTACTTACGCCCAAAACAAAGAACTCTGTTCATTATTTACACCCAAAACAAACACACCATTTATTAACCACTCATACACAATATCTTTTCACGTGTACGTCTTGCATACGAAACAATACTAGACACATGGCGAGCCCAAGCTCTAAACAACTTATGATCAAACAAAACGATAAAATATCATCAAAAACAAATCATCAACTAATATTATCTAGACCAGACAGAATCACTCCATACAACTCAACCAATATCAACGAAGTATATCTTACCAAACAGATATAACGCAACAACCAAATAAAATACAACAACCAAAACAACTTATTACAACCAATGAACCTTGTTCAATTAAGATCACCAAAATTAAATTCAACCATTTTTAACAAATCAACAAAACAATTTTCTCTTCTCTTAAAAATAAACGCTACACACTATAAGTGTGCCTTCCATAACTGATGTAATTTCCCCCCAAAACTCGCATATTTGCTATTTGACATTCACATGTACATAACGTTTATACCATAGCAACAGGTTTAAAAATAAACTGTTCATTGAAATATGATACACTTCAGTTTATCGCTGTAGGAAGACATTAACTCGACGTAAAAAGGTATCTACCGTGAAACTGTTATTATTCTGAAATATGAAGTTCTGATTATCACTGTATTTGTTTTGCCATTATTGTGATTCGGATTTCCCATGAAAGCTATTTTAGCCATACATTCAAGTTCGCTTTACAGATTGACATTAGACGAAGTTTCAAAATATCGTTTTTTTTGGAAGTAATTTTTTATTTTTGTTAAAATTTTTTAAAGTTTAAAGTAATTTGAAACAAATAAACTGGAAATAATAGACTCAATTTCTAATGTGATGATTGTTTTTCCAGTTTACCTGCCGGCTATATGTTAAACGCTATGTTTGTTTTCGAAATCGTGGAAATTACCTACTCAGTGTAAGTTAAGTTTGAAACCGCATCCCTTTCACAATTATGAAAGCTCGCCAAAGATTGGCCAAAACAAAAAAAAAAGAAAATGTTATAATACATCAATTGTATTAAGTCAAAATATAGATAATTATTATTATTATTAATATGATTATTATTATTATTATTATTATTATTATTATTATTATAATAAATATTTCTGTATCAATACAACAAACTAACTATAACGTCGTCGTGGAGAGAAAAAAATATTCATAAATGATGACAACATTCCAAATCTTACAATACACTCACTGAATATGAATCATGTGATTTGCGAAAACATGTTCAAAAAGGAACATACGGTACAGATTGTCTTACAGCATCAGTACATGTACCACATTAATCCAGTGTTTTACAGTATTGCACATTTGTTGTCATCATCGGATACCCACGGCCGAATTATTCACATTTATCAGCCGTGGGATTTTTCGCCGATATCCAGTCGATAAGAGGCATGTCAAAGACAGCTTTTTAATTGGTTGCCTCACGATTTCTTGAGGCAATTAAAACCAATCTAAACGCTCTGTCTATTTGGCGTTTGATGAGACGTTATTTCTAGGAAAATTATAACTATTGTGGTCTCTGCTTGTGGAATAATTTAGTTGGGGGATAATTTTGCCTTTTATATTAGCAAGACACGTGAAACAGTTTTACAACGTGGATACTGCCAGCTAATTTGTTTCTGATACTTGATTACCTTCTTGTCGAAGAATGTGAATGTTGCTAAATACGATTTCATTTGCACATGTTGCTGTATATCGACGCAATTTACTCACGATTGATTACATGTTATGCTACATGTTAATCAACCGTGGGTATCCGACGATGATTTGTTGCCGATTATTACATTGTTTGTATCATAATTGTGTAATAACAATTTGCAATAACATTTGTACACTTGTTAATAATATAATCATTATTGCATGAACTAGTATTTTTCTAATTAAAATGTTATTTTCAATATTGCGTTGAAGTAAAACTTGTACACGTATTGCTAATATTAAAGTTACATGTCATCTTAATATTTTTTCATTATTCACATTTCGACCGATTCTCGTATTGACGGATCTGGATCTAGTGTTTGATATATTTCAGGCATCGGTCTGCGAAAGACAAAAGAAACGATCAAACAAATGAAGTCACAATGTCTGACTTAGAACCTAACACAGAACAAAACGAGTGTGTTACTAACACTTATGAAATACCTGACCAAAATGTTTATGAAGGTCTAAATAGGCAAGACAATGCTCCATCGGGTGAAATGTACCAGCATCTGTATACAGAAACCAATTATTCAGATTGCGAAAGGTAAATACACAATAATTCGATAGTAATAAAAGTTTTGTAAATGTCGAGTGTCATATACGAGTATAACACATCGGTAAATATTGAAATAATTTCTTTTGAATAAAGAAAAAATAAAACATAATCGTTGCATACAATACAGATTACATATACTATCTACCAAGCTTGATATACAAAGTGGTATATTTTCCGTCCTTTGAATCGCGTTAATGTACTTTGGCTGTGCCAAAAGGCACATGAGATTTCTCCTGTAATTTAGCCAGACAATTAATACAAAACATAACGGAGTAACAAAGGAATCAACAATGGAAAATTTTACTTTATTTCAATTTGTGTTTTATTTTGATAAAATGTTAGCAGCTATGTTGAAAATTCCCCAAATGGTTTATTTGTTACAATACCATTAAACGGTAAATTCAAATATTGCTTTTTCTCCTATGGTTAAATCAATTAATGTACATTTGCACCACCATTCTGTTAAATTAGAGTATATGTATGTCATATTCAAATTATATGGCAAAAAATAACGTACCGTCTTTATATAAGTCACGCGTCCTTATGGTGTTTATTATAATTTATTTCGACAGTTCATTCTTTACAGCAAAACTCAAAACGTTAGTCATCGACAGTCGGACACAAACAGTTTGGAAGAAGAGCATAAATACACCTGATAAAGATAGTATTTGTGACAGCATACATCGTGAGAACTCGTCAAATGAATATGAAAGTTATAAAACTAACGCAACTGATCAGATGTACGAAATACTACAAAAAGACAAATGACACATATTTAGAACGTCGTTACCTAAGATTTAGGAACATGAGGTTTTTGTCATATCTTTAAACTAGACATTTCGCGTGACTTAAATGAGCGCTAGAACTTGTGAAACTATAGGGCTAATATACATATGTTTAAGCTAAATGTGTTGAAGAGTTTTGTAAGAAGTATTCAGCAGCACCTTAAATAATCTGATAGATTCCATGCACACCTATGAAGCATTTATAATAAATTGATATGATGAAGTTGGATTTATAATAATAATATCCTTATCTAGAAAAAAAGTGGAACATGTATACTTATTTTTCATGACGGCCTTATGATTTAACAATGACAAAGAAAAAGACAAATGATTTGTAACAAAACAAAGAAAAGTACTTGTAGATCTATACAAAATTTGAAATCCTTTTTTGTTCAAACAAAAAATTCTATGTATCTTTTTAATGTAGATCTAAGATATTTTTATTCATTCAACCGACTGACACTCGTATTATTCATATCATTTATAGATTAACTCATTATAATAAAAATATCATCATACATAGCTTTTAATATGAAGTGGTTTCAGTTATAATCACGTGTCTAATTGTAAAATAAATAAAAAATTTTAAGCTGGTTTTGAAAGATTGTAATGTCAAATATTGCTTAATAGTAAAATGTAATTTGTTCCAGACCAATGCTTAAAATACGAATAAGAATCATTGGAATAATAAGTATGAGGTAAAGTTTTCAGTACATATTCCTTATGAGTGATAATGCGAAAATTATGTAATTTATGGTGAAAAACTTACAATTTTTCAACATCATGTTATGAGATTTATACACCATAATTGTAGTGTGGTATTACACAATGAAATTTAGAATATTTAATTTTGGTGAACGTATCGGTCGGTTAAGTTTTATTTCTTTTGTTACAGAACAAATCTTGTCATTCCATAAAAATATGATAGCACATTTCATTAAGATAATCAGCATATTTATGCAAAACTATTAAGTAGTTTTAGGGTTTTTTATTATTGAATTGTAGATTACTTAGACAGTGTTATTTAATTCACAGTTTTTGCGTACAAGTTGTTAGATTTTTAAGTATGCGATTGTGATATCTAAGATTTATTACAGTGTTCAATGTGTTCTTGGTATCAAGCTATAATCCCAAAACGATGAGAAGATACAAATTAAGTAATATTTGTGAGTTTTCAATCAGCGGACGACTATGGAATGCAACATTTCAATGATAAAGTTATGAAACGTTCATATAATCTACAAGAGGAACTGACTAAGATCATCTTATCTCTTCTACTTTATGTACCCAATCTACTTTTGAAAAAAGAAAAGAATGAAAAAGAAAGCGGCTAATTCTAAATTTGTAAATATTTTTGATGTTATAGATCATGCTCAAATTAATTAATGCTGAGCTTTTGGATAATTGATATACATCCATGATTAAGTTTGAATTGAAATTTTTGTAGTATGTTAAATTGCATATTGATAGCACGAATGAATTTATATATTACCTTCTTTTAGCATAAGTATACTACATATTTAGATATTGCAAATATCTGCTGAATCTAGCATCATGTTTCTTGTTGTACATAAAGTAATGATATGTTATGTTATATTTAGCTTAAGAGATGTTCTACACAATGTATATGTTTTATTATTCAGGTTTGTCCTTTAAATAAAATCAGAAGAATAACCATGGTTTTTTAATCTTTTTATTGCGGGTAAACTATCCCAGCTTGAGATTGTTCTAATTCTGCTGTTTCAGACTTTACCTTGCTCTGACATCAGTTGACTGAACTTGCATTTTTACACTGCTAGGAAGGATGTTAGTTTTCTCCACATCTATTTAAAAATTAAAAAATGAAATAGAACAACAATTTATGGAATAAGATGATATAAATGAGTATTTATTTAATCGATGGGCCCTTTCATCTATTCTTTTACTTTCTCCCCACTCATAAGGTTGAATGCACTCCAATCGTTTTTGAATACTACACAAAAATCGCTAATTGAAAGAAATGTTTAAATTTTCTCTTTTCTTACTTCTCTCCCCGTCAACCTTGTATTGTGACAAGTCACACACGGCTAATACTGAATCTTTATTATGTTTCTTCATGTTAAAAGACATATCATATACATGTAGGAAATAAATATCAATTTTGAGTGCATTGTGGTAGTAAAATACACGGTTAAATTAAAAGAATAATAAACGCGCGTAATATAGTATAATGCACGAAAAATGAATATCTATTTTTCATTTTAACATGCTTATTAAAAAGAGAATTGATAAAAATATGTTGAACTTTATTAAGCGTAGAATTAATTTTCTTGACCTCACTTGGTTTATAGATGTCATATTTGACGCCATTTGACGCGTAAGAATTCCTTTTAATGCTGTGCATATATCTTGTCATAATGCACTTGTTTGACCTATCTGAATAATATCATGAAGCTTGTTTGAATTTAAATTTTATACCACATTTTCTATGAATGATTCGGACTATGTACGTCCAACTTTAAGTCACACTTTGGTTTTGAACGTTTTTTTTTTTTTTTTTTGTCTAACTTTATTTCAAGCTTTCTTTTGATACGTTATCAATAATAAATAAAACTACTGACATCGGTTAGCTGTAAGCCTTTTTCAGTCCTTACAATGTTTTGTTTTCTCTGTGATGCATCCCAAGGGAAGAGCGAATTTAAAATAAATTTCTTTAAAATTCACCCTTTCTAATTACTTTTAATACACAAAAGGCTAATTCAAGATACAATGAAAGAAAATATAAGATGATAATTTATTAAATATTGCCAACCATGTAAGGTACAATATTGAAAGTTGCACTGATAGGGACACTGGTTCAACCAAAACGACATTCAGATAAATATTCTGAAGAAGGACATGTCTTGGCAGCAATTAATAGAGGATATTAATGAGTGTAGGTTTAATACTAAATTTATTGAAAGAGTTGAATAAAATCATATTATGCGAGCCTCAAGCGAGTTCAATAAATCTAATATCGAATCTACACGAATATAATATTCTATTTCTCACATATTCAAAACGAGAACGGTTTACAACAAAATTGAGTCATTTCGCGCCTATAGTGTAACGCTAACATTAGCGCGCTTTAACGCTACATTTATATATAACGCAAATGACGTCACGTTAAAGTGTTATTACACTATATAGTGTAATATCGTTTTTATAACTTAATTTATTACAATACTGCGCCGCGGTTTAAGTGATGAAATGAAAAAATCTAGCTGGATTTAAATTAGTCTGTTTATGATGAAACAAGTAATTAATTTAACTTTATCTATTTCTTTATTTATTTATTTATTTTTATGAATATATGAATAGGCAATATCTAGCTGTGTTAGGTGATATATAAACTTTAGCACTGAAATGCACAGATGTTTACAAATTCAATATTGCATTTACCCGAAATAAATGTAAAAATAAAAATACACATTAAATGAAAATGTAGAATATAGGTATAAACAAAAATCACTTAACCATCCAACTGTCTCAACTTAAGTCGAGTCAGTTTGGCATTTGTATTGGAAACAATTTATCTTAGGTATTTTGAAGTAGTTAATTACTTGTTTAAGCTAAAAAAAACGTTATATTTTTTGTTGAAACAAGGATATCAAAGATGATTTTATTCTTGATCTTTCTTCTCATATGTTGTATACGTGGTAAGTAAATTCATGTTATCTATGTCATAGTCACATTAAACGATAGAAATAGGTAATTTATAAAGTTAATCGATTCAAAACTTTACTTGTAATGTTTACTACAAAATATCCCATTTTTGGGAATTTTGTTTTATCTTTCTACATCATTGCATCATAATGGCTAATTATATAAGTAAAAATAGAAATTGTAATTAAGGAACTAAAAGCAAGAATATGGTAATACTTAATATGTGAAAAGCTTATCGTCGTATGTAATAAGTGTAATAAGGAACTTTTATAATACTACGATATGTATTTCAGATTTAAACGGTCAATTACGACTTTGTGACAATGAATATAAACCAGGTACGTTCGTAATAAATAAACTTTTATATCAGAACAAAATATATACATGTATATACATAAGATGATATTTGCTTTTCTTTTAATCGTAATGTTCGCTCTATATATTTTGAACTTTAAGCAAAAATTTTGATCATAATGAGACAATGCCATTCAAAAGTTGTTGTTGTTAAGATTTTATAATCGGTGTTTTTTAATATGCACATAATTGCAGAATGAGACAATAAAAATCTTGAAACAAATGAGACAATAAAAATCTGGAAAGAAAGTGATCACTCGGAAGCATTAATCACAACAAATTACATGAAAATTGCAGACTCGGTTTGATTGAGTCTGTCCATGAAGGATAATAAATAAGTGCAACATCCCTCACGCCCCCTAGCACTGGCTTGAGCGGTAGTCAATTCTCAACACTTAATAGCGCAGGCATCAATGATCCCGAAGGACCAGAAAAATATAACAACACTGAAATGATATACGAGGCAAATTTTTACAATAAGTTTTTTTCTTCCTTTCCTTGAAGAAAATGCCAAGGGTGAACTATTTCAAAAATAAAATTTAATAAATATCCAAAATAAATACACCATTGATATTTCTATTAAGAATACATATACTGCCGGATATATTTACATTCAAAAGTATGATATCGAGCGTTTCTTGTTTTGTTACATCTAGCTGTGGAAATATGCAAAGACAACACTTTGACGGTTCGCAAAATTGTCTACATGACTACAACAAGAGTTCCAAAAATTCAACAGACACTTTGTGAGTGTTCGATAACTACAAGGACTTCAGAAGTCGATATTTTATTCTCTTTTGTTGATGATAAGCTTCCTCAAAGCTTAAACTTTAGAGTAATCGATAATGAAATAAATTCAAAAGAGCAACATGCATTCACAACAGAGGATCGAAGTCTAACACTTTCTGTCATTACAAATGATAATTACACATATGAAGGTGCTTGCTTAATGATTTTCTCAGGTATGATGATAGAAAAAGATTAACTTCTACAAATTATTTCAACTTTATTTCAGTTGTGTGTAATTAGTACTAGATGTCTTGGTTATGAATGATTTACTGATGAATTTGATATCCCTTGCAGTACAAAATCAGAAATCAGTCTTGGTCATGATTCTGTTTGTCTAATAGATAGCATTTTGCCAATATCATGTAATTATGTGACCATTCTATATGTTTTCCAGTATTTATATTCATCCTTCATATCAAATATTAACCTAGTCTTTATAACTGACCGATTAAATAATCAATAATCTATTAATGAGAAAGACATTTTTAAAAAAAAACATTTTGCTGTCTTGAGCAAAACTTAATCGTTTGATAAAACAAAAACAATTCTTATCAAGATACGCTTAATTAGCAAAAGACAAGATGAGATTTACTTATATTCATGCGTTACAAAACGTTTTAACCGAATTCACCAACCTAAAGTGTCTTGCATGCCTTCAATAAAAAAAGACCAGGTGCAAAACTTAAATTAAAATGAAATCAAATCATTTTAATTCAATTAATCTTAGATACTATCTATGAATGCTCGCCATGACATATATGAATACACCAGTATCAGTAGTGCAAAATAACTATAGCGTTGTGGTAAATGATAGAATGCAACCTTACTTACAATTACAATGCCAAATATTACAACATACCCACATGATATAAGTTAAAAAATGGCAACATTGTCGCAATATACGCCCGTCACAGAAGCTTTTGACAGAGATATGGGCATTAACGATAAGCATATGGGAGATATTCTCCGTGCAATATCCGGAAAACATCAACTCAACTTGATTTAAATGAAAAGAACAAGTCATTTTAATTCAATCAAGCTTGCCATGAATATATATAAATACACCTGTATCAGTAGAACAAAATAACTATACGTCGTGGTAAATGATAGAATGCAACCTTAATTACAATAACAATACCA